TGTCGAGGAAGTCGGCCCCCTCAATCTGCAAAGTCTTGAACGTTTCCTGCCAATCTTTCGAGAAACCATTCTTCGCAAGCCATAGCAGCACTCGATCAAGTGGCCACTGAAGCGCAGCCTCGCTGGGTGACATGCCGCCAAGCAATGTGTTACTATTGTTATGGCGATGGCTAGGAGACTTTGTCGGCTCGTTCGCTTGGCCTGCCTGAGATTGATGATTCTGAACAGTCGCACCAGGAACAGCGGGAACGGAAGGAGCAACGGAGTCTTGCGCATTGTCATGCAATGCCAAAGAAGAGGGCAATGCACGGGCCGATGGGGTAGGTGGTACAGTTCCGTCGCGCTTGTATGCTGAAACGTCTCCGCCTGAGTTCTCGTATAAATGGTTCACAGGCCCTCTTTGCCTATCACTCCCAGACATGGTTCCATAAGCCTCATACGAAGGCCGCGTGTGGGCATCGAACCCAGGAATCCCGACACCGGCACCGAAAGTGTTACTGCCTGGGACATAGGTCGCAGATGTAATCGGACCTTCGCCAGTGGGGACGGACAAACTTGTTTGACGGCCGTAAGCTTGGTTTGTCGGTACCATTGGAGGCGGCGGGGGAGGAGGGAGAAATCCTTGAGACAGCGCTTGCCTGGCCCAATTATGCTGCCACCCGAGATTGTTCTGATGCTGCAACTGGGAGTTCACAAGCTTCGACGCGCCATATCCAGGACCTGGAGGTGGTCCCGGAGGGGGAGGCGGCATCACACCCTGAGGTTGCGTAGGCGGATGTCGAGGCGGCGGTGGTGGTAGAGAAAGCATGTGGGACTGAGATGGCTGTGTCGCTGAAGGAGGTGGAGGGGCAGGTATGTACGCTTGCTGCCGTTGGCTATCCATGATGGCAGCTCTGTGATCTGGTTATACCGTTATGTCCAAGCCACTTGGCGAGTAGTGTAGAATGCGCTGATTGATCGCACAGGACTACGCAGCCGCTGAGCTTCGTGTGTAACTGTCTCCTTGTGCCTCTGGTATGCTGTCCTGGAACAAGCCTCGAAATCTCATGCCTTCGCAGGGTAAACCTTAGGCTTAGCCAGGCATCAGGCCTATATTGTGTTCCTAGATAGGCGGTTCGGAGACGTAATCGTGGTTATCGCACTCGCATTTGAGGTCGTCGGAGACTTGTGAGAACGAAGGTACAGGACGGCAAACAAGCATGACCCCATACAACAGTCAAGGTCTCATTTCATACTCGTGAATCCCTTTGTCTTATGATAAAATATGTGTGTAGTATGCGGTTTGAAGAAAGCAGTCGACTCTCGAGTTGTTGTGATAGTAACACGGACTCGAAGATGCTTCAGGATGCGTGAGCTGGTTGTACAGAAAAAGGACGTTGATGGAAGTGCCAGCCTGTCAAAGTTGAATCGATCTGCTACCCCAATGATGAGCAATTAAAAAGTCAGAATTGGTGTCTAGCAACGCTTGTTCGATAGCAGGTAGAGCTTGCTCCGTACTCCGTCCGTACTTTCCAATCGAAGGGGGAGGGGGGAAGCAAATGCCGCGGAAGATTAAATTAACAGGGGCAAAACATACCATGAACAATCGAAAAAATGACACTGAGACAGGAGATAGATAGCAAGTCTTGGCAGTCACTGATAGATATTCAAAGAGGTTTCTGATATGACTATGAAGACGGAACGAAAGGACTCGACATACTTGATGCCGGGGCAATAATAATAAGAAATCCATCAATCGAGGCCCAGCCCAAGGTTTCATTCATGGGGAGCTTTGATGCGCTGGATGCCTTGGCACCTTGATGCCTTGTCTATCACGTGGTGTCCCGGCGATAAGTCAACAGATCCTCTTTCTGACTCGTTCATTCGTTGGATGATCGAACATAAGAAGGTAGCTAAGGTACCTAGTAAGTAGTGATAACTGATCGTGGAGCTTATTTGAGTATCTATTCATTCATTCATTCATCTTTACCGTTTGTTCTCTTTCGCACAGGCCCTATGACGCCTGATTCGGCATCTCCAGTTGCACTCAAATGGGGTGAAGAGCTTGAAAGGGTCCTGTCCTGTCTTACTATGGGGATGAACTCCGGACCTACGGACACTTTCCGCGACGGCGATGTCCGTGTACTTTACAGTTTTTCTCTTGGAGTCTTGGACGGTTGGACCACTTGTAGCGTGCGTACGTATCAGCCGGTCCACAAGATGCCACTGCCTCAGCCCTACCGTCCGCATTTCCGCTACGTACTCCGTAGTACTAGTAGGGAAACCCCCTTGGGTCAACCAGGTACTTTTTTCATGATTGGGATAAACTCGTCCTCGCCCTCCGATTACAAGTCATCTCTTCGCGCAGAAATCGATTAAATAATGTTAAATCCTTAATGGCTGGTATCGGGCCAAAATCCGAGCAGTATCCATCGTTCCATATATTGTCCACCAATGATTCTATTTTTGCCCTTTTTCTCAAGACTCGTAGAGAGACAATCTATTTGTTGCGCGAGGCTGCTGCTTCGGCTGTCAACTTGAGAGCTGTTGGTGCATCTTCCCGTGGCATGTGTAGCTCCACCAACTACCACATCGATCAGTATCTCGAAGACTCGAGTGCTTGGGGATGCTTGCTTACCTGCAGACACGGTGCCGAAGCGAATTCTTTGTTCTCGAAAAGCTTGATCATGTCATCTTTGGTCTTGACTTGATAACCCTTGTAATTATTTCCTGCTCCAAATGCAATCGGAAGGCTCTTGTAGTCCCACTGCTGGATGTCATTGTAGCTCTCTTCCCATCCATGGATGTACCGTTCAATGGTATATCCTTCATTACAGATGACAAAACTGATTGTTCATTAGCACAGCATAAACTTGAATTGCGTTGCCTGGAGAACTCACATGATAGGGTTGAGCTTGTTCCTGATCATGGTACTGATCTCCTGCAAAGTGAGCTGAAGACTTCCATCTCCGACGAAGAGAATAGTTCGACGGTTGCCCTGCTCTTTGGCGGCCAGTGCGGCTCCCTGACAAGCCCCCACTGAATAGCCAATGCTACCCCAAAGTACTTGACTGATTGCCGTGACACCTGCTGGGAACCTGGTCTCCCAGATGCCAAAGTTAGCGGTGCCAGTCTCCGTAATCACAATGTCGTTCTCCTTGAGCCACTGGCCGACCTTGGGCCAGAGCCATCTGTGTGTGATTGCCTGATTACCCGACTTCGGCTCATCGTCGGGCACTTGGTTGTTGAGATGCGGCACCGGCTGGGCATTGACATGGCCCAACTTTTGAATGACTTTTCTCAAGACACCTTTCATGTTGACGTCTGGATACTCGGAGTATCGCACTCGCACATATGTACTGTGGAAATCGATGGTATTCAATTGACCAATGCGGTACGTGAAACCAGCTGTGTTGAAGTCCGATTTGATCGCGCCAATGCTAAGAATCAGATCGGAAGATTCCACCTGTTCCCGTACACCAGCGTTAGATCCGTTTCCAGCGTAGACACCGCCGTAGTTCTTGTGTGTCTCGTTGACTGCTCCTTTGCCCATCGGCGCCACGAAAGTTGGCAGACCGGAGGCCTCCATAAAGTCATGAACTTCGTCTAGCACTTTGTGACGGATGGCGCAAGCATCGACCAGAATAACCGGTTTTTGTGCTGCGTGAAGATACTTGAGAACAACATCCACCACGTAGTCTTCCTTCTCAGGGTCATTAGCCGGCAAAGAAAGATCAATCGGTGTCTTCAGTCGTTCCCCCTCAATCTTCTTATTGATCATATCGGTTGGCAGGGTGATATAGACTGGTCGGCTTCGGATCCAGCATTCTCGGATAGCATTGTCGATGAGTGTCGCTACTTCATGGGTATCATTTAAGCGTCCGACAGTCGTAGAGATACCGGCGCTCATCCTTGCAAAGACATTGTAGTCCCCATTGCCGAGCGTGTGGTGAAGCAGCATTCCATCTCTCTGAGACCTGGTGTTCGGCTGACCGACGATATGGACGATGGGTACAAATTCGGAGTATGCACCAGCAATGGCATTGAGCGCTGACAGTTCACCAACACCAAAAGTCGTGATCAATGCACTGATTCCGTTCACTCGGGCATACCCATCAGCAGCGTAACCTGTTATAAGTCAAGGTATCAGACACTGCACCATCTTGCTCAACCAGCGGCTTTCAATTAATTACACCGCACAGCGTACCTGCATTGAGCTCGTTGCAGTTTCCTACCCAATGAAGACCACATTTTGGCAGATAGTCCAAAGCTGCAAGGTTATAGTCACCTGAAATGGTATGGTCAACGCCAGGTTCTGAATAGGGAATTCTAACCAGAAAGAATCGCTCACCAGGAACACCATGCACTGAGCGAATTCCAACCTCATGGAGGCGCCGGAATAGATATTCAGCGACATCAACAGGCTTGCGAAGCTCCCTTGTAGCAATGTCAGTTGCCATTCTGAAGTTTCGGTTAAACGACGAGTATATATTGTATGGAGAGCTGTATGAGGAAACAAAAAATGTCCGATAAAAAGGCAAGGTCGAAGATATAAAATACTCCCTGGGAACACTGGATGTTGTGCCATCTTCCAGGGTGTTGTGGTGTCGTCATGAGCATAGCGTGATGTCATGCGGTTCTGGCATGGTTGCTGGATTTAGCTGAGATGGGACCATGAGTGGGTAGATAGTGAGCAATGGCACCATCTAGGTGTTTTTACCTTTGCATTTGTGACCTTCATTCTAGGTACAGTGTAAGGAACAATGTCCCGCTGGTTTACAGTCTTCCCAAAATCATTCTTCCAAGTCAAAAACATTGGAATTCCATCTTGGGACTCCGTAGTCTAAAAGCTTGGTTATTCTATATAAAAGTCCGTTATCGATCTGGTTCCAGTCTAAATAATCCGAATATCCCGGCTTGATAAGTTGATCTTCCCACTAGTCCCACCATCCGCTAAGCCAATTATGGAATTCTGGACTACGTCGTCGTTAAACTTCAAGTTCCGGTGATCGACCTTTAAATTAAACCTTCACTGGACTCTCTCTCAGAAGCGACATGTCGCCATCCCAAACAAACAGAAACCCCCAAATCTCTGTGTCATCATCCAGCCATGCCGTGCAGCCGTCGACTCGGTACATTTTGGTCTCATAGGCTTCCAGCCGGTTGAGTTCTTCTTGGGATTCGATCATGCAGACGACCCCATCAATGGGGTGATCTGCCTCCCCTTGCACAGCTGCCGGATATTCTCCCAAATATAAGATCTTCTGGCCAAAAACAATGGCGTGGGGAAGTTCGGGTTTTTCCGAGCGGTTAAGAACCCGTGCCAGGGCCTCTGGATTCATCAGGGTGCCATAGAAGAAGAACCATTTCTCTTTGAAGGGGCGGTCCTCTTTGGTGACCAAGGGCGGTATGGTCCCGTCCCACCGCATGAATTTCCTCACCATCAGCGAAGGAGGTGGGAGGTTTGGAGGAATGTTCTCAGCCATGTTTATCCTGGTGTTGCTAGACCTGATAAAGGACTACCTAGTGGGTTTGCGGGAGGTTAGTGGGTCACATAGAGCTCAGTCAAGTGTTCTTATAGATGGAGGACTCGATGGAGATGAGGGATTAGGGATGTAGAAAGTCAAGTCATCTTTTGGTATGGTACGTATCTACGTACATCATAGTTTCCATAGGTAGTTTTCGTAATCAACCACCGAGCCGGCAAATTTTCCTCGATGCGTATTATCACCATTATTCAGCGCGTCTTTTCTTCATTTTTATTATATAAATGCTGCTTTCTTAAGAAAATTGCCTTCAGATGGCTATATCTGCGTATAAAAATAAACGGAACGACTGGCCCAATAGCGAAAATGCCTCAAGCTGGTTCGAGTTGTAAAGCCGTCTAAGGGTGGGAAAACAGCGACGAGAATTGGAGGCGGGCAAGAAGGCAGGTATAGACCACACACACCTTGATGCTAAGCGGCAATGACGCGCTTTCCCCAAATAGGAACGCTATACCATTTCTGGTAATTCACAGTCACTGAAGAATACGGAGTACAGCTCTGGTGTTTTCAGTTCACTAATGACTGAGTGGGATTGCAGACTAGATAACCACACGCAGTGCAATCCGACCTTGGAAAGTGTTGGCTACTTAATGTCAACTGGTTATATTACCAGAAAAGGAAAGTCATCAAAACGATATTGCACTCATCAGCAAGTCTATCACTACTTTCAACCACCAATTCGGCATCAGTGTGAATGGCTGGAGCGGAAAAGCGAGCTATGCCTGATAACACAACCGATCAATCCAACAAGAAAAGAAAGGTTCGCTTGCTTACAATACTCTCTCGGAGAGATCTTCCCATTTTTTATTCTGAATTTTCTCTATCAATGTTGATATCTCTCATACCTTGCATGACTAACGCAACCACAGGGAGGCGGCAAATGGCAGAAGCAGCAAAACAACAAGACAATAATTGAGAGCGGCGACTGGGGAGTCTTCGTAACTTGTGATATGGGCAGAGAAGGCAAGTGCATTGCAGAAGCTCTAGATCTCTTCTCTCAGGTTAGTATCATGCCAAGATCAGCCCGGCTTGTTGCACTATATGACTCGCCCCAATCTGACGCACGGTATCTATCAGAGCGTCGAGTCAGCAGGCAGCAACGCCAGAGGCGAAGACTCAGGCTCAGATGAGGATGAAGACGACATTGAGGCACAAATCAAAAAAGAGATTGAAGGCTTGAAGCCCGGGTCAGCCAAACCACGCCAATTCCAAGCCATTCGAATGGAGATGCCCTGCGGTCCGTCATTGTCACCGCTTGAGTCACATCATAGATAACATTGGGCTGATCCTTGACAGTGACATTCATACGGTTTGACAAATCGATAGATCCTGAGAAGTTAGTTCACGAAATTTGTCTTGATGCACACGCAAATCCCGAGAAGAAGAGGTGTCGATGGGTCCAGCGGATGACCCCTGTAAGATCTATTCGAAAGACCCTCAGTGTTGATCTCGAAGCGTTCGCAAAAGAGATTTTGAAGCCCCACTTCCACTCTGGAGGACCTCCGAAGAAGGTGCGTTGTTTTTTGTGTGTTGCGTTACTTCCATTGTCTGAAATGGCGGTGCTGATATTAATCAATTCAATGCAGTACGCTATTCGGCCTACAGTGAGGGGCAACAATAAGTTCAACAGGGATAGTGTTATCAAAACGATTGCAGATGTCGTAGGCCCCGAACATTCTGTTGATCTCAAGAATTACGATTTGATTATCTTGGTTCATCTTATTCAAGTGAGTTGCCTGATATGCAGCCTGGCCTGATAGATAACCCCGCTTCATTGACTAATTATGATGAATCTCGATCAGAATGTAGTCGGTATAAGTGTCGCCGGAAGTGATTACGACAAATTGAAACGGTACAACCTGGCAGAATTATATAGTCCGACTCCAAAGCCTCAGGCTCCTGAAAATACGGAATCCTAGAAGCGTGTATCGAATGTTCGCTGCCTCCTTGAATTTCTGCGACATCGCAGGCAGCAAGGCTCGGACATGAAACATGGAGATCTAATCAAACAATTGTTTTGCCTTCAACACGAGGTCACAGCTTCGAATTCGCATCAAGGGTCAACTACTTTCGGTCCAGATCAATGGGGTCAGAATGCCAAACAAAAGGGGGAAATGAAGATGATGGGCGGCGTTTCTACGGATTATCCGGGGCCCCTGACATCACATGCTCCCTTCCAAAGTGGCTCAAGCTTGACTATCAATCTTACCGCTTGGGTAGACTTCTAGAACCTGTCAGGCTGGCTTAGATTCTGACTAGAATGACTCGGCTCTATGAACAAGCGACTCTGGGCCCAATGGTATAACTGCTGATACACGCCTTCACGTATTTTCCAGCCACAATCCATAGTCTTTGACAACCGTACGGGGAATCACTGATATTGTTAGTCCACAATGTAAATGAACGACTGAGAATACGAGCGATCTCTTTTCCTTTCCTTCCCAATAAGCAGCAGGGGCCAAACACATTTTCTCCCAAGAACCCGTATTCCGTATTTCTCGATGGCCAATGCACGTGTCTAAGCATTTGAAATATGCCCATCAAAAGATAAGCGAGAAAATCTCATCTTCGTCTTCCCAAGGTTTACGAATTCTCTCCCTACGCAGTCTTGTCTTGTGCTTTGTCCTTTTCGGCAAAGCGGACATCTGATTGGCTCGAATAAAGTATCCTACATTGCGCCTTCCTCAGAGCGGGAGACTTAGGCGAGACCCAGTTTATCCTCTCACTCGGATCATCTCGAAGAAATCACCTGTCGTGTGGATCTACTGATTCAGAACTCAGAAGTCACTGCTCTGAGCTTCTGAAGGGTCTGGTTCATCCCATCCAGGACCCATCGGTCTTTCCAGCCAACGTATTATGCGACATGAACCTCCATCTTTCGTCCAAATAAGGCGCCATGTCGCTACGTTCCCGCCTCTGGAACTCGGTTGATGCTGCCTTCGGGTCAGGGTCTTTGCTCCGTATCTCGTCTACAGCTCACCCTTTTCGGACAGTGCCCCGTGGAGTCCTGACGGGATGCTATCACGATTTGTTCTCCAGCTAATATTGCCATTACGTGGAAGCGGGAACACGGTGATCCAACCACCATGCCTTGGGTGCCGTTTCAATATGATTCTGATGCTTTGGTAGCATTTCCTGAACCACGATAGAACCAATGATGATTTGTCATGAAAGATCTGCGCGCTCTTTATCCTAGATTCACTGAGGATTCTCGGCACATTTGTGTTTTGCACCTTTTTCATAGCGGTCATCTTGAGACAATGTTGTTCCTGCCATCTTGATCCCTTTAAACTCAGAATGTGTCAAGCAAGTTTAAAAAGGCACAAGTGTCTTATTCATGAGCAGTAGAACCAAAATCATCGACTATGTCTCCGGTCCGAGATCTGGCACCCATCGGATTGGAAGTACCTAACAAACTCAGCATCGTCCTTGGGCATATTCTGCCCTCTACGGTGCACGTGAGAAGTATTCAATGTTTGGAGGGCCATCTTCATTCCCACCGGCTAATCACATTGTCAAACGGCGCCCAACTACTTTTAAAAAGCTCACCAAGGCCAACTACACGTTTGCTTCGACGGGAACAGTTTCTGCTTGGAACAGAAGCACGTGTACTTCGTCTGCTAAGACAAAGTGCAGTTCCATGCGTTCCCTCGCTCCTCCATTACGATCCGCAGGGCACCCTACTAGGGTCCGCCTTTCTCGTGCGTCAATATGTTCACGGCTCAACGTTACAGGAATTGGAAAGTCGACTTACCTCTGAAGATCGGCGAGACCTCGATCGGCAATTGGGCCTTCTCGTGAACATGATAGGTCAACACACCGCTGACTCGTTCGGGACCCTGGAGCAGGTGGCTTTGGGATCGGGGACAAGATCATGGCGAGAAGCCTTCCTCGTGCACTTCGAAAGCATCCTTCGCGACTCGGAAGATGTCTTTGTTCATCTTCCCTATGCGGAGATTCGGCATCAGGTCGGTCGACTGTCTCCGGCCTTAGACCAGATCACCTCACCGCGGCTGGTGATATGCGACTTTGGCCGGCCCTCAACCGTGTTGCTGGACCCTGTTTCGAGACAGCTGGCTGGGATCACAGGGTTCGACAGCGCTCTCTGGGGTGACGTCTACATGGGGGAGATCTTTGAAGACCCGTCGCCTGCCGTGCTGGATGGGTTCGCATCGCGTGACATTGACTGTGAGCCGGACTTGATCCGTCAATTACTGTATGGATCGAACTCTGTCCTTCAAATTAAAGACGAGGGAATGCTAATCGGCCTCTTCTAGGTATGCCTGCTACCGTTCGATTCACAACATCACCATTCAATACTATCGGGAGAGAAACTCGGCAGCCGAAATCGAAGCACGAAGACGGTTAACTAGGGTTCTAACGAAGATGGCTGCAATTGAGATTGTTGAAGCTCGTGTGGGTGTTTAATCGGCAGCAATTGCGCGGAATGGACTCACATCAGACCATCTGCTAAGTCTTCACTGTCTTGAACACAGTATGCAGCTTTTGACAACAGGTACCTCTCTATGCCTTGAGCACATATCTCCCCGTCACACCATGTACATAGACCACTAAGCATATAAATAACTTGAAGATCAATAGTTACTGCTTTTGCGGTTAATGACTAATGACAATGCATTAAGGTACCGTTTTATATCTGACCCATCTCATAGTTGATCACGGTATGCAGAAAGTATGATGGTTGATTCCTTCGAATTTGAACATCTGTCTCGCCGTGCCTCTATCGTTGGCTTACAAGCAGCATACTCCGTATGCAGGCACTGGATCACCTAACATATATCTCTCTTGCTCTTCTTGATCCTTACTCATCCTTTCTAAGACTGTTTTCTGCCTGTGATAACAGCCAAGAGCGGGGCAGCGGCAGTCAACAAATAAAGAAAGATGATGTCGTCAGGTGAAAATCAAAATCCCGTGGCAGAGCTTGCGCTATCCCCGATTGGGCGGTTACTCTCATCGGTGGGGCGCTTCCACTCCGCACCTTTTGAAGGAGTGCATCATCATCTTCTTGGTAGTTCATGCTCCTGGGTCATTCTCTTTCTCCTTTCTCTTCATTACTCTTATACTCGTACGCAGAGCTGTTGTTTCCCTCAAAATGGCACACTTCCTGCGGGGGAAGCAAGCAGGAATACAGAAAGATTTCTCCGATGGTCTCTCACCAGACCTCTTTGCCCTCGATGATGTATGTCTTGGCTGCCCTAGGCACCGATATTTTCCCGTTTGAGCCATTTTGTTGACCTCAATTCTACTTGTAGTACGCTCGGTGTGGTGTGAACTCGCAAATTAGTGTGATTGCATATGAACCCGTCCAGTCTCTTCTGGCCGTAGGTACGAGCGACACCCAGTTCGGCAGTGGGCAGATCTATGTGTTTGGACAGCGCAGGGTTTCCGCCGTCTTTTCGTTGCCGCGGAAGGCATCCGCCAAATTCCTCCAGTTCTGCGCCGACAAGTTGATCAGCGTCGACTCGAAGAGCGAAATTACCATTTACTCGCTTGAGACTCAGAAAACGCTGGTTTCGTACGCTCCGCCGAGCCATGCCACCGCCCTATTGACAGATCCTAGTCTGGACTATGCCTTCATTGGTCTACAGAATGGTGTGTGGGCATGCAGTCACTTTTATGAATGAGTTGTGCTAAGCGCTCTTTGCAGGGGACATTATCGCCTACGATCTGGATCGGGAATCCTTGACACCTTTTAGAGTACCTAATCTCTGGGCCGAGCGCAATCCGCGGGCACGACTGTGTCCAGTCCTTACTCTGGCCTTTTCACCTCGTGATATTGGCAAGATTCTGGTTGGATACCCCGAAGGAGCTGTCACCTTCACATTCAAACAGAACATCGCTCAAAAGTACTTCGAATATGAAGTACCCCCTGGTGCCGTTGGGGGCAATTCTGAGATACCTTCCCAGGACACGCGCAGACCCAAGCTGACCAGAGCGCTCTGGCATCCTAACGGTATCTTTGTTCTGACCATTCATGATGACAACAGCCTGGTGTTTTGGGACTCGAAGGATGGCCGCAAGATCCTTGCCCGGACAATGGAGAATTCACATATCGACGAACCTGGCGCCAGCCCAAACCGACGGTTTTCAACGGCTGAAGCTATCTTCAGAGAGCCTATTACTCAAGTTGCATGGTGTGTTAAGGCCAACGGAGAGGATAGCGGCCTTCTTATTGCGGGTGGTCGGCCTAAGGCTGAAAGTAACAAGGGTTTGACCTTCATGGACTTTGGATCAACTCCAAACTATCAGACATCTACATGGCCAATCATCACAAATTATTTCGAAAATCCAAAACAAGTTCAGAATATTCCTGTACCTCCAGGTGCAGAGGTCGTCAACTTTTGCCTCATTCCCCGCGCCTCGCCATTCTATGCTGGCGCTCATGACCCCATCGCTCTGATTGCGCTTCTTTCCTCGGGAGAACTTATCACTCTAAGCTTTCCCAGTGGTCATTCCATCACACCCACGAACATGATTCATCCCTTCCTCTCTTTCGTCCACCCTTTTGTCACCAAAATCACCATGACGCCTATTGACCGTTCCGCTTGGCTGGGCCTTCGGGAACGGAGATCGCAAGGGCCGAAATTCTCAATCGGCGGTGCAGAAGGCAAAAAGGCGCTGAAACGATTCGAGAACCGTAACATCATCACCACAGCTCACGCGGACGGAACGATACGTCTCTGGGATGTAGGACATGACGATGAGATCGAAAACGCGGATGTCATCCAAGTAGACTTGGCCCGCGCTGTTGGGCGTGTCGCTGATGTGGAAGTTACTGAAATGTCTGTCAGCGGGTCTACAGGCGAACTCTCAGTTGGCTTGAAAAGTGGCGAGGTCGTGGTGTTTAGATGGGGCAATAATGGAAATTTCGGCCACGAGGAGCCCCCAGGCGCAAATGAAGGAGCCGGAAAGCTAACTCGAATCACCCACAGAACCGATCCCGGGCTGAAACAAGGCATGCTTCCGCTTACCCTTCTGAATATGCAACAGGGACCCGTGACTGCTTTGAAGCATAGCCATGTGGGCTTCGTTGCTGCCGGTTTCCAAAATGGCAGTTTTGCCATCATGGACTTGCGCGGGCCAGCAGTCATCCATACAGCCCAGGTATCCGACTTTGCCAAGACCAGCAAACGTGGAAGCTTTCTCAAACACCGCGCTACTGAAAGCACCGCTCCGGAGTGGCCCACAAGCATTGAGTTTGGTGTGTTGAGTTTGGAGGGTGAAGGTAAGATTTGTCGTCTTGAGCTATGGGTGCGGGCGGATACTGACCGTCTGTAGACTACTCAAGCATCTGCTGCTTTGTAGGCACCAACAGAGGCAACTTGGCAACCTTCAAGATTCTGCCCGGAAACGATGGAACCTACATGGGTCAATTCGCCGGCGTAATTCAGCTCGATGATAAGGTCCTGAACATTATACCCATTGATGCGGATCAGGGTAGCCCTGCGCTAGCCACAGGAAGCATGGTTGCAGGCCTCAGGACTGGCGTCAAAGTTAACGGAGTTGTCATTGCGGTCACTGTTTCCGGCTGCAGAATATTTAAACCTGCAACGTCCAAGGGCGCTCACAAGTCCTGGGATGACTATCTCTGCGATGCCGCCACCGTCGTGAAGACGGAAGGCCGTGGTTACAGTCTTGTTGGTCTTTTCGGCGATGGTAACGCTAGGGCTTTCTCCATCCCTGGTCTGAAGGAAATAGGGTGCACCAGTATCAATCAAATTGCCGACATGAGACGTCTCTCGGACTCAACAGTCTGCGCTAACGGTAGTGTTCTGGCCTGGACGGGTCCCTCGGAAGTAGCGGTGTTCAATGTTTGGGGCTCTGGTGCCGGACTGTATGGACCTCCGTCCCTCGATCAGGATGATTTGCTGACATTATGATAGACGACCATCAGATAGTCAACTCTTCAACCCACAGGCAGCCATTCCTGCACGTCCTACAATTACGAATCTGCAATGGATCTCCGGCACACAATATGTGTCCCCAGCCGACATGGATATTCTGAGTACGTGCATTTATTACAGCTGCGGTGACAAGTTTGGATAGGAGTACTGACATTTCCGCCACTACAGTCGGAGGCCCCGACCGGCCTCCATCAAAACGAATGCAGGAACAGATGCGACTCGAGGACCAAGAGCGACGCCGACTCGCACGAGACGGCAGGACCGGGTCCAATCTATCGCAGACATCGGCAGGAAGTCAAGAGGGCTATTGGTCTTACATGACCCGTCAGGTCCAAGAACGAACGGAACGACTAGGCATTGCTGGTGACAGTATGGACCGGCTGGAAGAAAACAGCAGCAACTGGGCCCGCGACGTGAATAAATATGTACAGAACCAGAAGAAAAAAGCGATCCTCGGTGGTAAGTCTTGTCAGCCTTAGGCATTGCGCGAGTCTACTAACGATTGAACTAGCATTGGGGTCGAAGTTTGGCTTGTGATGTTGCTCTTTCATGAAGTGGAACAGTGTCCGCACTTTTATACACATCTTGTCCTTCTTAGAACTACATACCCAATTTACGGCGTTTGTTCAGATTATGACCACACACTACAAATAGGCTCAACTTATGTGTTTCATTGGATGAGCGAAATCCAAGGGCCATCCATCAGCGCAATGCTAGCACGGTATATCTTCAGAAAGATCCCACGCATCAACCTCACCAAGCATGCCAATGTGCCACTCTTCTAAAGCCAATATTCGGAGGGAATGTATCTAACCCGCCACCTCTTGTCATATTCCTTCCAGAGCCCCACCAAATCTTGTCTGTATTGCTCCTTGGCTTCAATCCTCTGAGCATGCAAGCGATGCAGTTCCAGCGTGATCGTCGCAGGATCCAATCTATTATTTTGCACAAGATCGATCATCGTATTTAGTTCACCGAGCTGCACCATCAAAGCCCGGTGCAGTTTTCTCGACTGGTGCTTGCCTGTTGCCATGTGGCAGTGTCGACAGAGGCAGGGGAAGGTTCCATCATTTGAAGTAAGGTCTTCGGGCGATCTGCTGCTGGAATGCTTGCAGGAGAATCGGGGCATCGTAGGTTCACTCTGCGAGGTTATTCGGAGCTGCAGTCGGGAACTCTTGCTGGTGAAGGTCTGGACGGGATAGTGGATTGGTCTTGGAGCGTAGCGTTTTTCTCTGTCGCAGTAGACTGAGCTGTGTAGTATCTGTAGGCAGTTATCCTGGTATGATGGTCAGGGTCAATAGGCAGAGATCGATGTGGTGCTAATCTACAAGAGTGAAACGTAGAAGGATGCAATGGGCTATTTTATATATTCTCTGTACAAAGAAGGCTGAATTGGAGATATCCAACAAGCGGGAATTTCATTAAGCCTGAGACACATGTTGAAGCTATTCAAGCGACGCATGACGATTTTTGAGCTCGTCCATTAGACGGTGATGAATGGAGGTGAAGTGATTGCTATAGGGTAGATGACAATGCTGAAGGCCTTGTTGCTTTCTCCTTCAGCACCAAGGGAGGTTGATGGGTGTGTTTGGTGACTGATATTCCCTCTGCAATTTGATCTGAGCTGGTAACCGAATTGTTCACAGAGCAATTCACTTTATTGTACACATACACAGACTACAAGGTGAAGATCATTGATCGAAAAATCCTGCTTTGCGAGACTGGAGCGAAAAGGATTAGCTGTGCTGTCGCCCGACTTCAGTATCCGGACAACGGTCAACCATCGAGAGCAAATACCTTGCATACAGAGTTGCTGGAGGGACAGAAGTGTCGCCAGGGTCACAGGCAACCCTGCAGAAACTATGTTCATAGCAGAAAGAATGTGTTACTATAAACCGTGTACATGCATATCCCTGGCTTGGTCCTTGCTTGAGTAGAGTATCCAAATTAAGAAAGATGCGGTGTGAATATGTTTTCTCAAATTATGCGGTTTCTATATCATGTAAATAAATGCTGCAAAATCAGAGAACATGGCCCAGGCGAATAGCTTCGGTCGTCGTAAGCGTTATAACCCAATCGTAAAATCATGCGCAATAAGGGATATTCCAAAAGATGAGCCGTAATTTGAGGAGAAGTGCTTGACTTAGTGCACCATGATGTCCTGCTGTTGATGATGCCCGGGGGCGGTGTTAGTATCTTTCGGTTCAGTGTCATCACCCATTTCAACGTCTTCATCGCGATCTCCACCATCTTCCTCGTCAAGGTCGTCCTCTTCGTCGTCACTTTCGTCCTCGATATCCTCACTCTCCGCATCGGAGATGTCTTCTTCCTCGTCTTCCTTGCCTGCACTTTCTTCGCCCCCTTCCATCTCGTGATCCCCGCCCTTGACGGCATCTCTTTCAGCCTCTTCGAGTTCTCTGACCAGCGCAGCCTCGAGTTCGGCTTCTTCAGCGCCGTAAGCAGCGCCGTCGTCCTCCATATCCGCTTCGGGTTGGTCTGGTGGGTATTCGGCTGGAGCATCCTCCTCAGAATCCCTGGAACAAAAAAAAGTAAGTTAAGGTCGTTGCACTGGTAAATTAAAA